GTGCAGTGGCTGCTCCCGGCCACCACAGCCTTGACCTGCTGGGCTCCGGTGATCCTTCCGCCTCAGCCTTCCAAGTAGCTGGAACTACAGGTGCGCGCTACCACACCTGGATAATTTTTTGATTTATTGTAGAGATGAAGTCTTGCCAAGTTGCCCAGGCGGGTCTCAAACCCGCAGGCTCAGGCAGTCCCCTCATCTCAGCCTCCCAAAGGCGTGGGATTACAGGCTGAGCCACTGAGCCTGGCCCACTGAGATTTTTAAAAAATTGTTACAATACCCCATAAACTTTCTTCAGTCTTTCTCGGTACCCATGGGTTTGGATATCTTTTCTGTTTGGAGCAGATAGGTTATTAGGCCTGTTCTAAACTTGAGATTTAAATTTTTAAACCCAAATTTGTAAAATTCAGTTGATTTTTATTTTTACAGACCCTTTTGGAGATGTCTTCCCGAATTGCCAAAGATTTAGTTAAAAGTAAATGGGGATCAAAGTCTGGTAACTCCAAATCTGAAACTGCCTTAGAGAAATTTAAGGGAGAAACTGCAGCCCTTAAAACATCGGTGGATGAAATCACAAGCGGAAAAGGAAAGCTGACTGATGAAGAGAGACAGAGACTTCTGGAGGTGAACGGTCTTATAGCTCTTTAAGTTGTCGTAAGCTGTCTTAGAAATGATGTGAGCCGGGCTCAGTGGCTCAGCCTGTAATCCCGTGCCTTTGGGAGGCTGAGGTGAGTGGATTGCCTGAGCCCGCGGGTTCGAGACCCGCCTGGGCAACTTGGCGAGACCTCATCTCTACAATAAATCAAAAAATCCGCCGGGCGTGGTAGCGCATGTCTGTAATTCCGGCTACTTGGAAGGCTGAGGTGGAAGGATCGCCGGAGCCCAGCAGGTCGAGGCTGCGGTGGCCGGAAGTGGCCGCTGCACTCCAGTCTGGGCAACAGAGTGAGACTCCAACTCAAAAAATAAAAAAAGAAAAAAAAAAGAAATGATGTGTTATGGCTTCTGATGCCATCTTATTCTTGCCATTATCCCTCTCCCAGACAGTTCATTCGTTTTAGAAAGTTGTTGGCCTTGGGTTTGGAATCTTACATTTCTACTTTGACTTTGCCAATTCTTAGACAAGCTTAGTCGTTATTAACTTCTCTCACTTCTTAAGGGTAATTGAGTATTTTGAGGTTATCAGGTACTAAGTTTGTTTTAGGATTAAAGACATCTTGGTTAGTAGTTCTACACCCCCAACACAATAGTATGGTTGTTCAATTATTTAAAATGAAATAATAACTAATTCCCCATTCCCCCTATAGCTTTTAGTAGTTTAGCGTAATTACATGAATAGTCTCAATAATTTTTGTTACACGATATTTAAGATTGTAAAACATACTAGTTTACTATTTTCACTTTTTTTTTTGAGTTGAGGTCTCACTCTGTTGCCCGGGCTGGAGTGCTGTGGCATGATTTCTATGATCATGGCTCACTGCAATTCTTCTGCCTCAGCCTCCCGAGTATCTGGGACTACCGGTGTGTACCACCACACCCAGCTACTTTTTTTTTTTTTTGGTTTGCTGTGTTGCCTACACTACACTGTCTTGAACTTCTGGGCTCAAGCACTTCTTCCTACCTTGGCCTCCTAAAGTGCTGGGATTACAGACATGAGCCTCTTTGCCTGGTCTTTCACTATTTTTTAATTGACGCCATAACTTAGAAGCATCTACTTCAGTGCTTTTTTGGAATACTATATTATTCATTGATATTTTAAGTATATTGTGCCCTTCTTCCATCTTTTGTTTTGCTGTAGGAGAGGAGAAAATATTTACCCAATAATTATATAATCTAGTTTTTCTGTTAATTCATTAAATGCCAAAAATCAGAATCCTTTTTGCATGCATATTGACTGTTTTCCAAGTAATCTTTGTTTTCAGGCTTTTTGAGGTAAAATTAGTATATGTGTTGGCATTTTGCATTCTGTTCAACTATATTTCGCATTTCCTAATTTATAATTTTTATGGCATAGGCAGGAAGTTAGGAATGTATTAGAACTAGAAGGATTTACAAACGTAATAATAAATTTGATATTCCTTTTTTTTGCAAAAGTGCACTTGTTCATATTTAGAAGATAAATGCTTAGAGCATATCATTTGATTTCTTTATGTATAGATACATCATAAAACTGATTTATTTGTGTAACAACGCACATTGAAATGAATACTTTTTCAATTATTGACAAATGACAAATTCATAGGCATGAAGGTAATTTGGAGTTTGGTAAAGGAGTCTCATCTCTTTCCTGAGAGATAGTTTTCTAATTCATTCCACTTTGACAAGCACTGGGTACTTTGTTCTTGTTTAATCACTTGAAGTGAATTTGCCTGTAACTTCTACCCACTTGTTCTAATTGTGCCCTTTAGAGTACACAGAAGAAGTCTATTTCTCATTCAGATGGACAGTTTATCAATATTTGAGGAAAATTGCTTCCCCTTCACTTTTCTGCCGACCAACCTCATATTCTTATCATCTTGAGTATTTAGTAGTTTGTCTCTATCCCTCCTGAATTATGCACTCAGAATCGAACACAGCGTCCCAAATGTGCTCTGGCAAACACAGATTGGAACGGCACTGTTACATTTACTTATTAGACACCACTCTGTTCAGGCCTACAACTGTGTGGCTCTGTATCATAGCATGCTATTGATTTGACTTAAGCTTGTGGCCAACTAAGATCCCCGCCTCATGTTCACGTGAATAACCATCACCTAAACTTAAATCTCACCTGTTTTACATCTGAACAATTGCTTCTTTTTTCTCCCTACATGCAAGCTTTAACTTTTTGACCCTATTAGCCCTTAATGTAATTATAATAATTATTTCTGTCACCTTTTTATTGGCTCTTTTTCCTTTATGCCAGCAGCAGTTTAATCAACATTACTAACATGTCTTGCAAGTCTTTGAAAATGTGAGTACTCCTTTTGGAATCATCTTCTAGATTCAATGCCAAATCACTTATCAACAGTAAACAGGTTAATGAATACGTCTTTATCCTGCTGTAACATTCTGTAACTCTTTTTTTTCTTTGAGTTGGAGTCTCACTCTGTCGCCCAGGCTGGAGTGCAGTGGCATGCTTATGGCCACCACAGCCTTGACCTGCTGGGCTCTGGTGATCCTTCCACCTCAGCCTTTCAGGTAGCCGGAATGACAGGCACGTGCCACCACACCTGGCCAATTTTTTGATTTCTTGTTAGAGACAAGGTCTCGCCAAGTTGCCCAGGCTGGTCTCGAACCCATGGGCTCAGGCAGTTCTCTCACTTCAGGCAGTCCTCCCACCTTGGTCTCCCAAAGTGCTGGGATTATAGGCGTGAACCATTGCACCCGGCCAACCAGCCTTTCTTTAGCTTCTTTCGCCCCCTTGATAGAGGTGATTTCTCGTCTCTGTGTGTCTGTGCCCATTCATTTTTGTGTGTGTCTAAACTATACCTACCATGTTGCATTAATATATTGACTTACTCCTTGTGAGCTATCTGAACACAAAACCTTGATGTCCTCATCTCTTTTGGCCCTGGCGTCTGACACAATGCTGACTTGATACATCATAAAAGCTTCATAAACACTCAGTGAAGTTGTTTAGCTGGATGCTGGACCTGGCTTTGTTCTGAGATTCTTCTTAGTTTATATCTAGAAAATCCAAGTCCTCGAAACTGAGAGGGAGAAGAATGCTTACCACCTCGCAGAGAAGGACAAAGAAATACAGCGACTGAGAGACCAGCTGAAGGCCCGATATAATACCACGGCAGTACTCAAACAGCTGGAGGAGAAAACCAAGGAAGGAGAAAGGAGGGAACAGTTGTTGAAATCCTTGTCTGAAGAGACAGATGTGCTGAAAACACAGTTGTCTGCCACAACGGCAAGACTCGCTGAACTTGAAAGCAAAGCCTGTATCATTCGTTCATCACAGGTAGAGCTTGTAATTGTGTGAAGTCAGGTTTTCCTTTCTGATAACATTTATAATTCTTTTTTTTTTTCTTTTATTGATTTGGAGTTTCACTCTGTCACCCAGGCTGGAGTGCAGTGGCTAGCTCACGGCCACCACAGCCTCGACCTGCTGGGCTTAGGCAATCCTTCCGCCTCAGCCTTCCAATAATTTGTAATTCTTATGAATATTGCGTTTGTTAAAATGTGCTTGCCAAATGATGAGACAGTATAGTATACTAACAGTCACTTCGCTTTTTCTTTTTTTTTTTTTTTTGAGTAGGAGTCTCACTCTGTTGCCCTGACTAGAGTGCAGTAGCACGCTCACGGCCACCGCAGCCTTGACCTGCCAGGTTCAGGCGATCATTCCACCTCAGCCTTCCAAGTAGTTGGAACTATAGACGCATGCCACCACACCCGCCTAGTTTTTGTAATTTACTGTAGAGATGAGGTCTTACTAAGTTGCCCAGGCTGGTCCTGAACCCCCAGGCCCAGGCAGTCCTCTCACCTCGGCCTCTCAAAATGCTGGGATTAAAGGTTGAGCCACTGCGCCTGGCCATTTCTCCACTTCTGTTTACTTATTTATTTTTGGATTAGAAAATATAGTTTATTTAGAAAGGAAATTAGAGGCCAGGCTCGGTGGCTCAGCCTGTAATCCCAGCACTTTGGGAGGCCGAGGGAAGTGGATTACCTGAGCCCGCGAGTTCGAGATCTGCCTGGGCAACTTGGTGAGACCTCATCTCTACAAAAAAAAAAAAAAGAGACAGATTCACTTCCCCAAAGTAGGGGTGGGGGCTAAAGCCAGGAAACATGACCTGGCCATAGCTCAGAGAGCACATAGCCACACCTTAGCTTAGCAAGGCAACGGCCCATTTCTCCACTTTTATTTTATTTATTTATTTTTTTGAGTTGGAGTCTCACTCTGTCACCCAGACTGGTGTGCAGTGGCCGCTCCAGCCACCGCAGCTGCGACCTGCTGGGCTCTGGCAATCTTTCCGCCTCAGCCTTCCACATAGCTGGAA